AACCAATTATATATACATCTTCCAGAAGAAAATTCAACCCTATGAAAGAAATTTCAAAAAGTGAGAAGCTATTACTGTACCAGATGCACAGAGAGCAATGGAAGGACATATGAAACAAGAAAAAGCAAGGAAATAAAAAAAAAAAAAAATACAAATTTAAAAAAAAGAAAAAGAAGGAAATACGACACCACCAAAGGACTGCAATTGTTCAGCAGTAGATCCCAATCAAAAAGAAATTCTCAAAATGAAAGACAGAATTCAAACTATTAATTTCAAAGAAGCTCAATGAGATACAAGAGAAATCTGAACACCAATACCAAAAAATCAGAAAGTTAATTTAGGGTAGGAATGAGAAATTTAACAAGGAGGCAGATATCTTTAAGAAGAAAAAAGAACGAAAATTCTGGAACTGAAAACTTATTGAAGGAAATGCAAAATACTTTGAAAAACTTCAGCAATAAAATAGACCAAGCAGAAGAATCTCAGAACTTAAAGGCAAGTCTTTTGAAATAACCCATTCGGAAAGAAAACAAGGAAAAAGGAAATAAAAATAATGAACAAAGCCTTCAAGACATCTGGGACTACAGAAAGTGACCTAACTTACAAATTATCAGTTTTGCTGAGGGTGGAGAGAAATCAAACGGTTTAGAAAATATAATTAATTAAATAATCAATAAAAACTTCCCAAGTCTAGCAAGACAGTTAGACATCAAGATGCAAGAGGCAAAAAGAATTTTTTGCAAAAAGAATTTCACCATGGCATTAAAGAAATAATTTTTAAATTAGCAAGAGAAAAGGCATCTATTAACCTATAAAAGATTATCAGTTCTCAATGAGGAAAAAAATGTTCTAGGTAATATGAGTCTTAGGGGACCTCCTTTAACACTGTTCCAAAGCCCTGAACTCCCTGCTTTTACGTACATCCTATTGCAAATCTTAGAGCATGGAAGCAAAAAACCAAAAACATGGCAATACTGCCACCTACTGGTTAAAGAACAACTATATTAATAATTTAGGTTAATAGGAAAAAGACAATCCTGAGATTTCCTCTGGATATTGACCCTTAGAGGTTCTGGGAAACAGAGATCCTTCAACCTTAAGGTATCCCTGAGAATTAAATCCGAGACTTGGAGCAGATGGCAAGTGGCTCTTGGATTTTCAGATGAGCCCTAAGACTAGACATTTCAGAGAAAAGATGCATTTAGAGGGCACTGCAAAGATAAAATGACTTTTCATTCCCCACCCTAACCCCTGCAGTCCTGGAGAAGATAAATTCTCTCCAAAGGAGAACAGACCCTCAGAATAGGTACCAGGCCAGGGCTCCAGGAGAGAAGACTGCGAGTGAAGCCTAACCTGATTCACAGGGCAACTCTGAGGGAATCACAAAGGGAGAGAACCCCTTCCCGGAAACAGGTGCAACTCCATGCCAGGATGCAGACAGCTGGTTCAGCAGAGTGCTCACCCTCCTAGCCTGACGCCTGTGTGAGCACAATTTGCCAATCATACACAGAGGCCCTGGCTACTGGGAAGACACTCCCTGTGGTGGGGTAAACATTTAACCATGTGAAAGTTATTTGTTAACTTTTAAATACTCCATTTCTACAAGACTAAACACATGACCCAGCAATCATGGTCCTTAGGAATTACCCAAATAAACTGAAAACCCATGTTCACAAGAAACCTCACACAGTTCATAGCAGTTTTATTCACAATTTCCAAAACTCCAGAGCAAATAATGTCCTTTAGTATGAATGGATAAACAAACTGCTACATCCAGACAATGGAATACTATGTGGCACTAAAAAGAAATGACCTATCAAGCCAGAAAAAGACCTGGAGAAAACCTAATCACATATTGCTAAGAGAAAAAGCCAATCTGAAAAGGCTGTCTATGTATTGTTCTAACTCTGTGATATTCTGGAAAAGGCAAAACAAGGGAGACAGTGAAAAGATAACTTTGTACTGGTGCGAAGGCACCAGTAACCTGTAATTCTGATTCGGAACACAGGTGGTTTCCTCAACCCTAAAGTTTTAAGAAGACAGGTCACCTGCCCTAGGAAATGACTCTCCAGCTATGAAAATGGAACTGATCTATTTTAGCATCTGACTGAAGAGGGGTGGACGTTTCTCTGGGGAAGCTAGTGCCTGGAGCATTCCCAGGTGGCGGTTGTTCTGGGTAGAAGGACAAGCTGAGCCCTCTTGCTAGCCTGACTCTTGGCTAGGGTCTCCACAGACCCTTTGGTTTTGGCCAAGGGCAGAGCTGCAGGCCCAGAGAGCCTGCCAGGCCCACAGGGAGAGGTTGGGTTCTGGTCAGGGCCTCTGGGCTGCAGGCCTGCCCACCCTGCGGGGCCTGTCCATCCAGCCTCTCCTTAGTGGGGCTGAGTGGCTTTGGGGGCCAGTGCCAGGGATTAGAAGAAAGGAGGGATAAACAGGCAGAACACAGATTTTTGAGGTAGTGAAAATACTGTGATACTGCAATGGTGGACACTTGTCATACATTTGTCCAAATGCATGGAATGCACAGCACTGGGAGTGATCCCAGGGGTAAACTGTGGACTTGTGATGATAATGATGTGTCAGGGGAGGTTCATCAGCTGTAGCAAATGCACTCCTCCGGTGGGGGACAGCAGGGGGCGGGGCGCTGTGCATGTGTAGAAGGGGGGATATGAGAACTCTGCATTTTTTGCTCAATTTTGCTGCGAATCTAAAACTATTCTAAAAATAATCTATTTTTTTGACTCCATCTGTGTTCCACCAATAACCATAAAGACAACTGAATACAGTCAAACAGAGAACAATAGAGGATGGGCTGCATAATTGTCCACATCTTTCCAGCATTTAAAATGTTATAAATTCTCATGTGGGAGCAAAATTTTGTCTTTTGAAAAATGAAAAGTGGCTCCTTTTCAATTAAAGTAAAATTGAGGTTTTGATTTTTATATATTTCCTGACTCTATAACCAGGAAATATGTAAGAAATCTTATACTCCATAAAAAAATCTAGAAAAACAAGTTAAACGTGTGCTTAGTTTACCAGGCACAGAAAGGCAAGTATCATGTGCTCTCATTCATGTAAGAACTAAAGAAGCTGATATAATGGAGGTGGAGAGTAGGTGGAGGGGGAGGGGAAGAGCAGGTGGAGGTGGAGAGCAGGACAGACACCAGAGGCTGCGTGGAGAGAGAGATAAGGAAAGGTTGGTTCATGAAAACAAACACTTGGTTAGATGGAAGGAATAAATTCTAATATTCAATAGCAAAGTAAGGCAACATTTCAAAGCAGCCAGAAGGGGGACTTGAAATGTAAGCACACTTGGACTGGATCATTACACATTCTGTGCATGTGACAAAATATTGCATGTACCCCATAAATATGTAAAATTATCAATTAAAAATAAAAGATGAGGGGAGAAGCTTGTGCTTAGTTTAAAACCTTAAAACCTGGTGGCCCCCTTTGTATGCTATCAGTCACATACACTGAGACTGGAGAGTTTGAACCCGGCCCCAGCCAGCCGGCCCCAGCCAGCTAAACAACAATGACAACAACAACAAAAAAATAGCCGGGCATTGTGGCAGGCGCCTGTAGTCCCAGCTACTCGGGAGGCTGAGGCAAGAGAATCGCTTAAGCCCAGAAGTTTATGAGGTTGCTGTGAACTGACGCCACCGGCACTCTACTGAGGGCGATAAACTGAGACTCTGTCTCTACAAAAAACTTTAAAAAAAAAAAAGACAGAAATCTGAACAGGCATTTCTCAAAAGGTTTTACAAATAGCCAACATATACATGAAAAAAGTGCTCAGCCTCACTAATCATCAGAGAAATGCAAATCAAAACCACAATGCAGTATCATCTTGGTCCAATTAAAATGGGGCAAGTATCAAAGATAGGCAGTAACAGATGCTGACAAGGATATGAAGAAATGGGAACCCTCAAACACTGTTGGCAGGAATATAACTTAGTACAGCTACAATGGAAAATAGTATGGAGGCTCGGCACCTGTGGCTCAAGTGGCTAAGGCACCGGCCACATACACCTAAGGTGGTGGGTTCGAATCCAGCCCGGACTCGCCAAACAACAATGACGGCTGCAACCAAAAAATAGCCGGGCGTTGTGGCGGGTGCCTGTGGTCCCAGCTACTTGGGAGGCGGAGGCAGGAGACTCGCTTGAGCCCAGGAGTTGGAGGTTGCTGTGAGCTGTGATGCCATGGCACTCTACCCAAGGGGACAGCTTGAGGTTCTGTCTCAAAGGAAAATAGTACGGAGATCCCTCAGAAACCTGCAAATAGAAACACCATACGTACATCCCAGCAATTCCACTACTAGGTATATAATCCAAAAGAAAGGAAATCAATATGTCAAAATAAGTATCTGCACTCTGCTCTTTCTTACAGCACTACTCACAAAAGCCAGGATGTGGAATCAACCTAAGTTCCCATCCACGGATGAATGGGGGAAAAATGTGGAATGTTATTCAACCATAAAAAAGAATGAAATATGTTTCATATTCTAATATTTATTGCAGAAACATAAATGGAACTGGAAGCCATTATGCCAAGTGAAATAGCCCAGTACAGAAAGCCAAGTCTGCGTGTTCTCAGTGCCACGGAAGCTTAACAACGTGGAGCTCAGGAAAACAGCAAGTAGACTGGGGGTTCCCGGAAGCTGGGGCAAGGCAGGGGGAAAGAAGAGACAAAGAGGGGGAAATAAATACAAATGTTTTTATGGTGAAGATGGTAAATTATATATGTATATTTTACTGGAATAAGGAAACTAAAGTGTTAAGTGGTAAAGTGTTAGTGGTATTTTTCTAATACTATGCTCCTATATTATGAGATAATGCTACCACGGATATGAATGGAAAAATATTCATATGCCTTCTGGGTTTTAAGAGTAAAATTTCAACTACTTATTTGTTATTCTTTTCCCACAGAAAAGCAGTACAAATGATAATAGCATTACAGGATTATTAATGTTTTTGACAAGCAAGCATAATAATACAGACTTCTTTGATGGTTGACAGAATCTTTTATTAATAGTCAATAAACTTCACGCTTACAATAGGAAAATAAATCTTTCTTCAATGACTAATTAATTGAAATCTAACCAGGACCTTATAGGATATTCAGTGTGTACTAGCTTGGTGCACATCTTAGAACAGGATATTAGCTTGCTGGCATCATTAGGGTATGACTGCAAATAAGAAAAAGTGAAAAATTTATAAAACATTTTCCTAACAGCTTTACCCAATAGTAGTTCCCCTGAAATTAAAACAGAAAATACAATTTATTTTTATACTGAGTTTTAAGCATGACTTGCAGTACACATCAATCTTAATTTTGTAGTTTTGCTATGACTTTTTAAAGGTGCTCAATAGAAATTCAAATCTTACTTTACGACCACGAATTTGAGGTGTTCAATAAAGTTGTAATTTCTCAGCATCGAAGTTTAATCATTACACTGCAGTTCAAGCAACAGAAAGTATTTGAAAGACAGTTTTGTTTGGCCTCCTTGTTTTCCTGCAGCACTAACTGTGCTACGGTTTTGCAAGCACAATGATGACTAGAGTGGATGCTGCTGATTCAGTCACAAAAATCCTTCTTGGAGGAACAAGTCTCACTCTTTTTGGAAGAAACAACAATTTACTTTTTACATTTCTTTCCTGTTATAAAGAACAGGGCTAACCAATCTTAAAGTCCCAATTTCCACCAGATGATTAAAATCTTCAGGTTGTAAATTTTCTTAGCTTCTTAACATCTATCCAGTGGGGAGGAAAAACAAGCTCAGTGAAGGACAGTGTGCTTCCCCATTCTCTCAACAGAGAGCAAAGGAGAGCCCCATAGAAATTTCAGCATTGCATATTTTTTAAATCTCATAAAGCTTGGTGGGAATCAATAAGTCAGTAGACTCTGCAAATCTCTGTTAGTTCAGTACAAACTGATCTAGCAGATGAGTTGCATTTTTTTTTTTTTTTTTTGAGACGGAGCCTCAAGCTATCCCCCTGGGTAGAGTGCCGTGGCTTCACAGCTCAGAGCAACCTCCAACTCCTGGGCTCAAGCGAGTCTCCTGCCTCAGCCTCCCAAGTAGCTGGGACTACAGGCGCCTGCCACAGCGCCTGGCTATTTTTTGGTTGCAGCCATCATTGTTGTTTGGCGGGCCCGGGCTGGGGATTCAAACCCGCCACCTTAGGTGTATGTGGCTGGCGCCTTAGCTGCTTGAGCCACAGGCACCGAGCCAGATGAGTTGCATTTTAAAGCCCATCTTTCAAAACATTCACTTGTCCAGTCTGTTTAACCAGAGGTCACCATATTGTTGATAGAAACAAACAGGAACCACATGACTGCTGCTCGCCCTCCACAGAAGTCCTTTTGTTATGGTACATAAAGAAGGGCAATCAGAGTCTCCAGTTTTCTCCATCCACAAGCCAAAACATACACACAAACACACACACACGGTTTTCAGTGGTCTCATGTCAACATCGCTGACGATGCCGAACACCCAAACACTTTTCTAATTGAATTCTAAAAAAAAAAGTGCCTTATATTTAAAATGTTTTTTAAAACTTCAGTCTTCAATATTGAAACTGCTAAGTTACCCCAATTTTTTAATGAGAAAAATTAAGTTGGGAAAAAATAAAAGCTAAGAAAGTAAACTTTGGAAAACAGTACTAAATAGGTTTAAGGAAAAGAAACCTTTATAAAGGAAATATTCCAACAGAAGGCAAAACTGTTGGCCAAGAGCTGCTCACTACAGCGTTATTTGTAATAAATCCTGAAAATAAATGAAATGTTCACTAATAGAACTGTAAGATAAATTAGGCAGCATCCAACTGATAAAATTTTTATAGTCATTTAAGATATTATGAACACAAAAGGACATGGGAAATGCATAATTTTAAGGCAAATACAGAAAGGATGCCTGCCACATTCAAACAGGGTCCACCTCTGTGCAGTAACTACACAGGAATACAATCGGACATGCTGCGTGAATGTATCATTGACAGAGTTTTCTCTTTGCTGAAAAACAATCTAAAGCTTCTAGAGTAGCTCTATGTTCTTTGAAAGAAAATAAACAAAACACATGAAAAAGGACAGAATAAATCAAAAACATGTCTTTGAAAACTCAATAAAACTCAAATGGGGGGATGGGTAAATTCCCACCCATGAGTACGTTGCACGGGAATATTGCACACTTCCCAAATGAAAGACACGCCTACACCTCGGACTTTAACCCTCTAAAAGCAAACTACGTATCCTAACCATAGGTAGCCCCATCTTAATCTGAAATTAAAAAAAAAAACAAAAACAAAACATGTTTTGAAAGTAAACGTTCCTCGGAGAGTCATGCCACTGACCTTATCCAGAATTCAATTTCCTTCTACATGGAAAGGTAGTATCGGGGCCTGGGCCCACTCCTCTTGAGGTGATGGGGACAAGTGCCCTGCCAGGGTGATCCAGGGCCTCAACTCTATCATTGATTTTACCAACTAGGTAGCACTATTCTACAATACACTTTTGCTATGTTTGAGGACAAAACACCAACATTTTTATATTTTTACCTACAGAGAAAATTTAGGTGCACAATTATCTTCTCATAAAAAAGCAGTTCTCAATTAACAATCAAATTACATGTATTTAAATGGCAAAATGGTGTTAACCCTCTATAACATGTGACCAGAAATAATTAAAGACCATGGGGTGTTATCTACCAAAAGTACTACTACAGAGGGTTACTTACCAAAATAAAAAAAAGGAATTTTCTATAGAAAGCTGAATATTCTTCTTAGGAAATATTTAATATTTTCTCATCAAACAACTTGGATAAAAGGCTACATTTTCTATAACTGCAATAAAACAGGATTAGAAAGCTTTTACTGGGCTGGGTGTGACAGCTTATGCCGCCTATAAACCCAGCATTTTGGGAGGCCGAGGCAGGAGGACTGCTTGAGGTTAGGAGTTTGAGACCAGCCTGAGCAACACAGTGAGACCCCATCTTTACAAAAAATAAAGCAATTAGCCAGGCATGGTGGTGCATGCCTACAGTCTCAGCTACTCAGGAGGCTGAGGCAGGAAAATTGGTTAAGCCCAGAAATTTGGAGTTGCAGTGAGCTATGATGATGACTCAGCACTCCAGCCTGGAGACAAACTGAGACCCTGTCTCAAAAAAAAAAGAAAAGGAAAGTAGAAGGCCTTCCTATAGTCCCTGAAAGTATAGAAAGGGAGCATCTCTGGTGGTTTTGTGACAACAATCATAACTGCCTACCTACTTTAGCTCTCTGAAAGAAAATGTTCAATCAAAAGATTCAATCACCCAAAGCATTTACTATTTTTAATTAGTTGCTCCAGAATAAAATTTTTAAGAAATTATTCATTACACTATCAAATATGTGAATAGTAACATCAAGAAATACTACAATAAAGCAGCTTATTAGCATACTGCATTACTCTATACTATTACAAAAATAGCCATCAAGATCTTCACATACTCAGTATAATGATCCTGTTTTACTTTTTGCAAGCCATGTATCTTTCAGTCACATTCTCCCAGTTGATAACATTCCAAATAGCTTTCAGGTAGTCAGGTCTGACATTTTTATACTGCAGGTAATAAGCATGCTCCCAGACATCAATGCCCAGCAGTGGGATAAGACCTAGCAGAAAGAGGAGGAAAAGCAGAAATTAGAAATTTCAATCGGAAACATTGTATCTTCTCAATGTAAACTTTTATTATTTTTTTTGCACACAAAATTACCCTTCACAACAATCTTGTTTCTTATGTAAATAGGAAATTTATATAAGAATAAATATTCCTGGCTTGGTGCCTGTAGCTCAAGAGGCTAAGGCGCCAGCCACATACACCAGAGCTGACGGGTTTGAATCCAGCCCAGGCCTGCCAAACAATGACAACTACAACCAAAAAATAGTCAGGGGTTGTGGTGGGCGCCTGTAATCCTAGCTACTTGGGAGGTTGAAGCAAGAGAATCGCTTAAGCCCAGGAGTTGGAGGTTGCTGTGAGCTGTGATGACACAGCACTCTACCCAGGGTGACAGCTTGAGGCTCTGTTGAAAAAAAAAAAAGAATAAATATTCCTATACAAAGATCTTAAATTTCACTCTTTAGGAAAAAAATATGACAAATATTAAAAATAATTAACATAGATTTGGGAAAATCAATGAACTATGGTATTTCAATAGCCATTCTTAAAATACCAATAGATTCATCCAAGAGTCAACTCCCAGTCTTCCTCACAGAGAGTAGTCTCAGGAGCCGCAGTAGCAAGGGCGTGCTACGTCTGTGGGAGCACTGGAGGCTTCACCAGGGTCCTCTTTCAAAGCACCTGAGCACTAATGGGGGGCGGGGAGTTTAGAGAAACCTGCTCTGCTCCCTAAGGCTAATTTTACTTTTAGGGAATACACAGCGGTCATGAGATACTAATAGAATAAGTTAACAAGGAAAACGCAATAATTAAATTATGTACATCAAGAACTTAGTTCTATTTATAAAACGATAAGCATTCACTTAAAACTTCACCTGACTCTACGACATTTAGTGCTCACAAATTGTTTATAGCTTCACAAATTCTTGTGGCATCTCACTTGCCCAAGAGCCATTTAGAATCTGGCAAAATCTGAGTAGATCCAGAGAAGTGACCCACGTGAGCAAGAGTATTCTGAAGAGTAGAGAAAAAGTGGCAAAGGACGACTGCTGTCTGATGTTAAGTACCACTGTAAGTTAAAGTCCCAGCTAACTGGGGATGACTCACATGACTCTATTTCCCATACCTTTTGGTGGCATTTGATAAAAGTCTTCTAATTCAATTAGGCGCAACATAAAGAAAGGATTTGGTGAGCCCAGCCTGGAGCCTCCAAGCCAAATATTCTCATCTACTATACCAAAGACCCCCAGAAAGGCAGAAGTGTGGAAACCTGAATTTTAGTCCTAGTTCAACTACAAGTGCTCAGCAGAGTAGGCGAGAATATAAGTTCTGAACTCAGACTTGGTTTTTATTTCTTTTCCTCACCCTTAATTAATTTTAGCTTTTTATCTTAGTGTATATAATTATTTAAGCTGCTACTAACATTAATGTATCCCCAAAATGTGCTTATTTTATAAAATATTAAGGACTTTAAGCATTTTAACTTACACAAAACTCTGGATATTATCTGTTAAGGTTTGCTCAAATTATTAAATGTTCAATTTACAATCGCCAAATTGTAGAAACAACCTAAATGCCCACCAATCCAGGAATGGATTAACAAGCTGTAGTATATGTACACCCTGGAATACTATTCAGCCACTAAAAAAGGTGGTGACTTTACATCTTTTGTATTAACCTGGATGGAGGTGGGACACATACTTCTTAGTAAAGCATCACAGGAATGGAGAAGTTATGATAGGAGAACAATTGATGCTAATACATGGTAGAGGGTGGGGGTGGGGAAATGGGGGGAAGGAGGAGGGGTGAGGGTCTCAGTGTGTGACACACCTCTTGGGGATGGGACACAATTGTAAGAGGGACTTAACCTAACAAATGCAATCAGTGTAACCTGGTTCTTTCTACCATCAATGATTCCCCAACAATAAAAAAAGAAAAAATTATTACACGTTCATCATAAGTTTAAACACTGCAAGTTTTCCTTCTTTCTACTTGAATGCTTTACAACAAACCATCATTCCCAAATAGAATGTGTTTTAAATCTAACCTGTTGTTCCTTGCAATGGATCCTGATTAGAACAAGCGGCAATCTGTAAGCGTCCTTGTTCCTTATTGAAACCAAGCCAACCCCAGCCTGAGCCTTGGACACCAACAGATACAGCAGTCAACTTCTCCTTAAACTTGTCAAAGGAACCAAAGTCACGTTTGATGGCTGCCAGCAACTCCCCTGTTTAAAAATAAAAATCCAAAAACCGCCCACAAATGAACAGGTATCAATTATAATAAAATGTTACATATATATATAATTAAAATACTATCTTCATATAGCCTAAGAAATAACTGGACAACATTGCACAGAAATAATAAAACCCAGTAAACTTACACAACAATTGTTACTCCTATCCTAACATCTTTAAGGTTTTACAATTTTAGTTCCCATGTTGAAGGCTGTTAGAGGGATTCTTTACTCACTGTGCGTTTTTCATCAGGAAAGAAATACTACTTTCTATTAGCATTCTTTCTTTTCCCTGAACAGAAAACTTATTCTGGATTCTTCTCACCCTGTTCTATGCCCCCATTTCAAAGTAAAGTTACAACTGTTACTTGGCTCGTTTCCAAGGCAGCCTAGATTTTCCCATTTTGATTAAATTGCTTTAAAAAGGGCGATTTTTCTCTTTATTACTGAACTAATGATGCACTTCCAGAGCTAAAGCCCTTTCATTCTGTAGCAATATAGAATATAATTCTAGGTTAAGCATATCAACTAAATTAAGTGGGTCCAAGATTTCACTTCTCTTACCAGGAGCAGTGGCTCATGCCTGTAATCCTAGCACTCTGGGAGACCAAGGCGGGTGGATTGCCTGAGCTCACAGGTTCGAGACCAGCCTGAGCCAGAGCAAGACCTCACCCCTAAAAAATAGCCAGGCATTTGTAGCAGACGCCTATAGTCCCAGCAACTTTGGGAGGCTGAGGCAGGAGAATCACTTTAGCCCAAGAGTTTGAGGTTGCTGTGAGCTATGACACCATGACACTCTACCAAGGGCAACAAAATGAAACTCTATCTCAAAAAAAAAACCTCACTTCTCTTATTCTGCCGGTTTAAAAGTAATCATCTTTTATAAGCACAAGTGATGGAACAAAGTGGTACAGATGACCAAAAATGGCAGAGAGAGCTGGGTGATGTTGCTCACACACACACTAGCACTCTGGGAGGACGAAGCGGGTGGATCACTTGAGCTCAGGAGTTGGAGATCAGACTGAGCAAGAGACATTCCCTCTATAAAAATACCTGGGCATCATGGTGGGTGCCTGTAGTCCCAGCTACTTGGGAGGCTGAGGCAGGAGGATGGCTTAGGCCCAAGAGATTGAGGTTGTTGTGAGCTAGACAGCACAGGACTCTACCAAGGTGACAAAGTGAGACTCTGTCTCAAAAAAAAAAAAAAATGTTGGCAGAGTACCAAAGCCATTGGTTGAACATGGATGTATCTAATATTCTGGTAACTGACAAAACCTTAAAAGTATTGAGTCATGGTCTGAAGATCTAACTCAGAAAAAATAAATTACCCAGTTTCCATACTTACTCCCTCATTTATCTTACCTCAAAAAGAAATCACATATTTCAAGTATAAAAGATAGGCTGCCTTTAATAACAATGATTAAAAACAATAAAACCACAGAAACTTAGGGTCAATGTCAGGAGCCCAGAAGCAAGGAAGGGCTATGCTTACAAGCTCCACACCCTCCCTGGGTCATCTGAGCCTCCACAAGCTACAAGGGAAGTCAACGAAACAAAGATGGGGAACAAGACTGTCTGGTTGGGTGGCGCCTGTGGCTCAAAGGAGCAGGGCACCGTACCCATATGCAGGAGGTGGTGGGTTCAAACCCAGCCTCTGCCAAAAACTGCAAAAAAAAAAAAAGACTGTCTGGTTCTGTGATCCCCTCATTTCCTGCAATTTTTCAAAAAACTAGAAAACCTAATTTTCTGGGACAACTGACCATTTATCAATAAGGAAGAGTAATAAAATAATAGCAAAAGGCACTAATAACTTATTATTTAATTCTCAGCTGGGCACAATGGCTTATTCCTGTATCCTAGCATTTTGGGAGGCCAAGGGAGAAGGAGTATCACTAGAGTCCAGGAGTTCAAGACCAGCCTGGGCAACATAGCAAGACCCCCATCTGTATAAAAAACAGAAAAATTAGCCAGGCATGGGTGGCACAGGTCCATACTCCCAGCTACTGGAGAGACTGAAGGGGGAGCATTGCTTAAGCCCAGGAATCTTAAGTTGCAGTAAACTATAATGGTGCCACAGCACTCCAGGTTAGGTGACAGAGTAAGGTCCTGTCTCAAAAAAACCCTCCCAAAACCACCTTATCTAATTCTCAAAATAGCCCTATTATTACTCAAAGAAAGTAGGTGACTATGGGTAAGTATGTAACCTACACCCTTGAGCTAGTTAAGTGGAAAATTCACCTTAAACTAAGTTTTTCAGTTTTTCCCTAATAGGAAGTATTAGGGAAAATACTTGGTTTTCCCCAATGAAACCAAAGGTGGAGCTGCATTTGATAACACATGTGACTGTGTATATAAAATCTGACAACATAACCTCTGAATGCATTCTCCATTCCTACTAATGTCTCTTTGAAAGTTATAACTGTGTTGTCTCCTTGCTGTGAAACATACGCCACTGTCATACCTCAGGGAAAACTGAAGCCTTAAGAAAATGAACAGTCATTCCTATAATACACGAAATGCAGAGAAGGGCACATCAATACATACAAACCTTGGGGTTCTCCACCACCATTAGGGCTCAGGTTTGTCCAAAAAATGGCATGATTGATATGACCTCCACCGTTGAACTTTATTGCAGGCTGAAGAGCTATCTGAGCGGTAAGATCTCCTGAAAAGTTAAAATACAAACACATTTTAAAAAATTCTTACCTTTTCAACCAGTCCATATGCTGTTTTTTTTCTTTGTAAGACATCAGATAATGGCAGTGGTTCATCTTTAACATCCTTGTTGGTCCTAAAATGCAGCAATTTCAGACTCTACCAAAAAAAGGACCCTCCCCAAATTCTCTGTCTCAGAGGACTTTCAGTTCAATTAATGACACGTGGAACCACCGATGAGGGGTCCAAAGGGGAGGCAAAGTTAGAAAATTTACTTCCAACCTCCAAGCACCTCAGGATTCTCTTGGATGGGAAAGATTTCAGGAAATAAAACACCAAAGAGAAAAACTAAAGAAAAGGCTATAGGGAAAACTTTCAACTCTTACGTTCCACACAGATAACCATTCATGGGGAAGTATTTCAAAGTCACATGAACAACAAACTCGCCATACTCAAAGCGAACTCCTGATTTGCAACCCCAGTCTCACTCTTGCTACTGCCTTCCCCACCTCAGTAAATGCAGCTTTGCTCCTTGGGACATCCTTGGTAACCTGACATCAAGCAATTGTTGACTCCTCTGCCCTCACCCAGCAGCCAGGCCAACCAGCACGTGCATCAGCTCTACTTTTAAAACACACCCAGAATCCACTCTCCTCTCCTAACTCTGCTGCCACCTGTCCACACAGGGCACCAGCACCTCCCACCTGCATGGCTGCCACCATCCCCTCACTGGTAAGGGGTGCACCCCCTCCAAAGGCTTGCCTTCTCACTGGGCGCAGACCCCTTGAGTCTCTACCTGTGGAGCCCTCACTCACCCAAACTGGCCTTCCCGCACTCGCATGGCTTGCTCATCTCAGAGCTGACCGACTTGGCTACCTCTGCTGGAACTGCCTCTGCAGGACGGCTCTCAAGAGGCTCGTGCTTCATTTACTCCCTTCTCATTCAAGCCTCCACTGAAGGTCAGCCTCATTAGTGAAGCCTTCTCCAGCCACTATGTAACTAGCTACATAACTAGCAATTCCTGCCACCTCTCCCAGACTCCTCACTCTATCATACCTTTCTCCACAGGCCCTGCAACTCCTATATACTACATGTGTCTGTCCATCTGCCTCCCCACTAGCCTGTCGGAACAAGGGCTTACCTGCATGGCTGTGTCCCCAGTGCCTAATGTATTTCTCATATGCAGCAGGCATCAGTAAATACTTGCTAATGAATATATTGAAAGTAGTTTCTAAGAAAAAAAATCAATTCACTGGTATCCATAGTTTTAAAGAAAGAAAAGAATGTCACATTTCAATTGTCTGAATATATGTATTCTGGAAACACTGGGGAAAGTAAATAGAAACCAATTCTCTGCCTTACTAAACCAGTAGGCAAAATGAAATATTCTTCTCTATGCCTTCCAGAAGCTAAAAACTAACAGAACTACTAGAAAACAGTGGAAATTCCTTTGTCTAGCAAATACTGAGTGCCTATTATTCACAAGACACCAGGAGAGACAACATGATAGAACCAGGACCACTGAGAACTCTGCATTCAAGGACCTTTCGTTTTCAGAAAAGTTCTCTTGACTGCTGTTCTTGAAAGTGTACACTAAGAACATAAGTAAGATAGCTCAGCACCCATAGCTCAGTGGCCAGCCACATACACCGGGGCTGGCGGGTTTGAAAATGGCCCAGGCCTGCCAAGCAAGAATAAACACAACAACAAAAAGTAGCCGGGCTTTGTGGCAGGCACCTGTAGTCCCAGCTACCTGGGAGGCTGAGGCAGCTCTTGCTTAAGCCCAAGAGCTGGAGGTTGCTGTGAGTTGTGATGCCATGGCACTCTACCAAAGGCGACATAGTGAGACTCTGTCTCAAAAAAAGAAAAAAAAATCCATTAAGAGGGGCTTACAAGGGGCCGGGGCCGGGCACGGTGGCTCATGCCTATAATTGTAGCACTCTGGGAAGTCAAGGCAGGTAGATTGCTTGAGCTCAGGAGTTTGAGACCAGCCTGAGCAAGAGTGAGACCCCATCTCTAAAAATAGTTGGGCGTCATGACAGGTGCCCGTAGTCCCAGCAACTCAGAAGGCTGAAGCAAAAAGATCATTTAAGCCCAAGAGTTTGAGGTTGCTGTCAGCTGTGATGTGGCAACAAAGGAAGACTATCTCAAAACAAAAAGAGCATATGTAAAAAATGTTGCTTTCTGAATCAGGGCCTGACCTCCAGTTGTTTAGCAATTCAGAAAGGAGGAGAGAAACAAATGATGCCTGAATACACAGCTAATCTCCTAGTGTTCTCTATTTTTAGATACCAGCTCTTTTTTCCTCTGCTATGTTTACAAAATAATTTTCTTATAGGTCAGTGTTTCCCTTATTAATTTCTCTTCCTGTGACCCTAAAAATAAATGTAGGTTTTTAATACTGTTTTTTTATCAATAGTAAATAAATTTTTCCAATGGGAAATACACATGCTTATTCAGAAGTAATTTAATAATCTCAACACCTTAAAAGCCTGCTTCATCATTTTAAAATTTCAAAAGAAATTTTGAGGGCTTAATACCTGACTTAAGAACTCTTTCAAGTACTAAAATATCTGTTAAGCAAGTAAAAAAACTCTTTTAAGAAAAAGTTTAATATTTTCTTTGGTTTCAGTTCAGTTTTTTTCCTCAAATTCAATAAAACTGAAATTCTTTTCATTGAAAAGTATTTATGTCACATGTGATAAGATTATAATGTTATTTTTTTTTACTTATATTCTTTTTTCTCCAACTTTTCAAAAATAAAAATGTAACTTTTTAATAATTTTAAAAATATAGGCTCGGCGCCTATAGCTCAAGCAGCTAATGTGCCAGCCATATACAGCAGAGCTGGTGGGTTCGAATCCAGCCCGGGTCTGCCAAACAGCAATGACAACTACAACCAAAACATAGTTGGGCGTTGTGGCGGACACCTATGGTCCCAGCTACTTGGGAGGCTGAGGCAAGAGAATTGCTTAAGCCCAGGAGTTGGAGGTTGCTGTGAGCTATGATTCCACAGCACTCTACCAAGGGTGAAAGCTTTAGGCTCTGTCTCCAAAAAAATAAAAATAAATAAATATATATAGGTTTTTAAAAAATACAATAAATATATATAGGGTTTTTTTAAAGCTATACAAATATTCATTAACTTATAGGCAATATAGTATAATATAAAACTTTTTTCAATGGCTTTCATTAAGCAAGCTTTGATTCCACAAGAAAAGGACTAGAATTAAGCTGTTTCTGAAATAAGACAGGGTCCCAGATGTCAGATGGTGCCTTTTAGGATGTACTTTCACAGCTGGGCTGTGCCCTAGCCTCTCCCCATTACCATACCCTTCACACATTTCTTATTTTCTAAATCACAGGGCCTTTTCCAGCATTCAAGATTCCTCTGTTACAAACAGCTTTCATTAAACAAGCCTTGATTCCACAAAAAGAAAACCTAAAGTAAACTGTTTTTAAGACAGAGAAAGGTCCCAGATGTCAGATGCTGCCCTGCAGAAGTACTTTCACAACTGGGCTATTCCCCACCTTATACAACTGGGCTGTTCCCGGCCTTACACAGCTGGGCTGTTCCCCGCCTTACACAGCTGGGCTGTTCCCACCTTACACAGCTGGGCTGTTCCCACCTTACACAACTGGGCTATTCCCACCTTACACAGCTGGGCTATTCCCACCTTACACAACTGGGCTATTCCCCATCTTTTCCCCATTACCACATCCTTCACACATTTGTTATTTCGTAAATCACAGGGCCTTTTCCCGGATTCAAGGTTCATTCAGAGTTCCTCATGTTGCAAATAATCTTCCAGAATGTGGTAACTTCCTCCACTTTGAGTTTAGTCATTTACCTCAAACACAACCAGGCTGAAATACTGTATTTTCCCACTAGATGCCCCCAGTCAACAAGATGTCACTGTCTAAAAGTTACTCAAGGCTCGGCGCCT